TAACAATTATATTTAGCTGAGTCTAATGAGATTTGAAATGAACAGTCACATGGTACAAATAAAGATCCTTATTCTTGGGGTAAACCCTTGTGAATTGAGACTATTGTATGAAGTTGAGCAAACGGTACTTAGCATAACAATGGTTAGCAGTTATAGATAAGATTTTGTAGAAGAAACATTAATTGTTGAGGGGTCAAGCACGCCCCTTTCAGGGACCCGAACCTGGGAGGGACAGGTGGTGTGTGTCATTGCATGCAGCAGCCTGTATATCCCTTTGGGAGGAGAAGTTACTCATGGTTATATGCAGACCCGAACCTGCAAATACGTACAGGCTGCTGCACGCAATTACACGCAGTACCTGTCCCTCCCACTTCTCGGCCTTTTGGCTAAGATCAGGTGTAGTGTCTGTTCTTATCAGTTTTTGTCGAAGAAAGGTGCTGTCCTTGAACCGGGAGGATAACAGTCTAGTATTTCCTGGAGTAATAGGTATGTTTTGGAGGGGTTTCTTTTTCCTCCTGGGTTGATTCTGGCCTAGTTACGCCACGTTTGCGCAGCCGGATCTACTCTCTCTGCTGCCCCAAGGCCAGGTTGCGCCCCCCCTACCCACCAGGGGTGAGCTATGCATTTTGTTTTTTTGACTTACAAAGTTATTCTTAAGTCCCGATGAAGGAAGATCTTGTGGCCCCTCCCCCCAAAAAAGTGTTGGCTGTTTTGTTCAACTTAACTTTTTTAAGTAAAATACCTTACTGGATTCTACCTATAGCAGTGGAGCCCCCGTCTTTTCTTGAATAGGTGCTCATTGCTGTCTGGATCCCTTTCGGGAGATTTTTCTTCATTTTCTACCCATTTCGGAGACATAACAGGAAGTAAGAAGAAATCTCTACAAAAGTGAGGGAGATCTCCTTTTTAGAACAGGTGACAATTGTCCAAGAGAGGATTTCCCATCACTTCCTCTCCGGGTGTCAATGCTCATCAGAACAACTTAAATGAGAACTATGGGGTTAAGTCTTTTCCCCATAGTTCTCCTTAGGGTAACGGGAGGACACAAACTAGCGTCCTCCTGTCACCCTAGGCTCAGTATACCGTGAGCTGTAGCTCCCTATATACTGAGACGCCGCAGCTGAAGCGGATCCCGACAATTGTGCCGGTTTCCGCCCAGCTGCGTGACTGAGAGCTGGCTCTGCCTATCTAGAGGCAGAGCCAGCTGTACCCGCCCCCTCCCCCGTCCGTTCCGCCAGTCGGCGCTGGCAGATCGGAGCGGGGAGGGGGGAATCCAGCTCCTCCCCTGTCACGGCTCTCGAGAGGTGAGCGAACGCCGGTATGTGTTCGCTCACCTCCCGATGTACTGAGCCGACCTGTGACAGTCTCATTGTCACAGGTCGGCTAGAACTATGAGGAGGAGTGAAAAGCACCCACCTCATAGTTCTCCTTTAATCTTTGTGTTTGCTCCCTTCTAGATCCGCTATGTAGACAAATATTATGAGAAGATCAGACGGATCATGCTGCCGGAACTTCAGAGGCAGGGCCTCCATGAGGAGTACAGGTGGCTGGAGAGGAACACGGAGCCCCTGTCCCCGGGGACCATTGTCACGGCCTCGTTGGGTTTACTGTCGGCATCGCTCATTGTCAGTGTGTTCCTCCAGCAGACGGGAGCCTGACATCGATCACTGACCTCCGTACCGAGCTTCACCGCACCACATCCCAGGACAGGCTCCAAAAAAGTCCAAAATAAATGCACAAGAAAGATAATCTATTAAAAGGACTTTTCTATTATAATCCGTGTTGGTCTGATTGCTTGAAACGCATCAAAATCACAAAACGCTTTCAATGGTATATTTAACAGACCAAAGAGAGCAAACAAGAGAGGTTCGTTGTTGGGGTTTAGATACATTTTAAAATGAATATAAAGTCTTTTCAAACATGCGAAAATAATCAGTGTGATGGAAATAATCTTATCAAATTGTGTTATTGTCTTCCAAACCTTGTTCCTGTCTATAATTATAATACTATACACAGGGCCGGATTTACTCTCCCTGCCTCCCCAAGGCCAGGTTCTGCAATGCGCCCCCGCCCCCTCCATCAACATCTGAAACCCAGACACATGATGTCAGGCAGATAGGGGCAACCAAAATTAAGATAGGGGCTACTGCCCCCCGACTGAAAATAGTCTCAACTGTGATATTTACACATGAAATGGGTGACGCTATTTAGTTACATATGAATAAGCCACGACTCATTCTCCCCTAAAAATTTCCATGCGTCGCTAGAGTGTTCGGGTTTCGCTAGAAGAAAAGGTGGCAACCCTAGTTCTTCGGTTTTCATAAGGATCAATATAAAGTAAAGAGTAAAGTTTCACATTCACATCCCCCCCCCAAACAATTCATGTAAAGCGCATTTCTCTTTTTTTTTAAACCCAGCTTCATAAAGTTTAGAGAAGCGAATGATGTCAGGTGAACCATGTGGTTTCCTCTCTACCAATTAATTGCTACACCGAAGATAATGTATTTCCTGTTTACAGTTCAACTTCCTCTTTGGGTTTCCAGAAAACACGAATGCTTAAGGTGACTGTAGCCGCGTTCCTGCGCTGCTACGTACTGCCTGTGATACTTTGTTATTGGCCGTAACATTTTACATGTTCGGCTGACCTGAAGTGCAGAAGGAGTTCCACTCCGCTGATCTAACGTCTGGATCGGCTGAGCCGAAGCTCCGACAGCTCACTCGCTGCCGTTCCCCCCCTATTCACATAGGGGCCGAGCGGCCGGATTATTATATACACTGAGTGGCCGGATTATTATATACACTGAGTGGCCGGATTATTATATACACTGAGTGGCCGGATTATTATAGACACTGAGTGGCTGGATTATTATAGACACTGAGTGGCCGGATTATTATAGACACTGAGTGGCCGGATTATTATATACACTGAGTGTTTCTGAAGATACGGGGAAACAACGCGATGTAACAGCCTCTGAACGCGGGATGATTGTTGGCGCTCGGAGCCATGGAGCGAGTATCAGCAAAATAGCAGAATTCCTTAAATGTTCAAGAGCAGCTCATTGTTAAAGTGTTTAAAGGAGAACTATGGGGTTAAGTCTTTTCCCCATAGTTCTCCTTAGGGTAACGGGAGGACACAAACTAGCGTCCTCCCGTCACCCCAGGCTCAGTATCTGTAGCTCGCGGTATACTGAGACGCCGCAGCTGAAGCAGATGCCGACAATTGTGCCGGGATCCGCCCAGCTGCGTGACTGACAGCTGGCTCTGCCTATCTAGAGGCAGAGCCAGCTGTTCCCGCCCCCTCCCCCGTCCGATCTGCCAGTCAGCGCTGGCGGAGCGGGGAGGGGGAATCCAGCCCCTCCCCTGTCA